GTTAGCCATTGATTTTTTCCTCGATAGTCAGTAATTCGAAACCGCCCCACTTTTAACGCTTTTGTTGCATCATAAAGAGAGCTCAATTTTGCAACCCCTGTTTCTAAGACAAGTGCTGTATTTAAGATTTTGAATGTAGACCCCATCTCATAAATACCAAGCGTGTTTCGATTGAAGTACGCCTCTTTCGGTAAAATTCCTTTATCAACATTAGGGTCATAATCAGGCAGCGATGCCATCGCAAGAACTTCACCTGTTTTCAAATCCACCACCAAACCATTGGCTGATTTTGTGCTAAACTTTTCCATGGCCCAGATCAGCTGATGATGCAAAGCAGATTGTATACGAACATCTATAGAAGTCTGAACAGCATCCTGTTGAAAGGTTTCATCCTGGACGCGATCATCTAATGCACTAAAAACCTTCAAAGGATCTTGCATAAGTTGATTATCAAAGGATTTCTCCAATCCAGAAATGCCTTTTCCATCAATATCTGTCATTCCCAAAACATGAGCACACAAAGAACCATGAGGGTAAAAACGTTTTTCATCACGTTGAAAATTAAGAGCAGGCTCTCCAAGCCTTAAAACCCTTTCCTGTTGTTTAGGAGTCAAGTGACGCATTAGCCAAACAAACGCCTTTCCCGAATTTAGCCGTCTAGCCATGTTTTCTTCATTGAGTTCAGGCAGTATTTTCACGAGTTTACGGGCAATGCGTTTCCCATCCGTCACCAAACGAGCATCTGCATATAAAGAGGATGTTGTCACACTTGTTGCAAGAATCACGCCATTTCGGTCTATGATATTTGCTCGACTCACACGCCCTTCAGAAGGAAGCCATCGAGAATTTGAAAATGCAGCTTCCTGTAAAACAGTTAAATCCACAAGGCGCATCCCAATTGCAAAAAAGCTTATTGCAAACATAAGCCCAACCAGCATTAAACGCCCCCGTTTAAAAGGAACCGTCCTGCCTTCAGCCCGATCCCCCAAGTTTGCAACGCTTGGTCGATATACTTGA